TGGAAACCGCCTGCTGAGGCTTCACTGCTGCACTCGGCATCTCCTAATCAGCTACCATGTGAAATGCAAATTCAGACAGTCTGAAAATTAGTCAAGAAGAATAGAGGATGAGGATGCAGATATGTGAAATATTCATGCGCTTCATGGAAAAAGGAAGACAGCATGAATGACACAACAAAGAACGGCCCCTGACATTCTTGCTATCATTTTGCATTATTGTTCACACCCTACTGTATTTTCAGGCCTCCAGTTCTGAAGTTGGTTATATGAACTGCCATATTTATAGTCTACAATAAATAATAATTATAAACGGCCCAGGTAAAATGACTAATTGGAAAACCCACAAAGAGGTATAGTGCATAAATTACACAATAGATCATTATTTCATCCTCTGTAATGTCACTGAATTACCTTTTTAAGTCCAGGTCTTTTTAATAAAAGAGAAAAAATTGTCACTATAAATACAAAACAAACAAAATACTGGGCAGTAATCTTTTATTAATAGTTCAATCACTGTCTTTGAATCTAAAAAAATTTAAGGTTCAGAATTACAGCCCCTGCTCTCTAAGTGAAATTGCACTACACTTGATGTTTATTAAATGTATTTCAGTGCTCATGTTTATTTGCTTTTTCAAAGTAATCTTTAATTCATGTAGGCTGAATTCAATTAGAATTAGTTACTAATACGTGTTCTTTGGTTTACAGCTTCTATCAGTTTGCCCTGCTCTTTTCAAAGTGGGAAAGTATTTCAAAACTGGCATCTCAGAACATTAACAAGCAAGCATTTATATTTTTTCATTCTGTTACTCACACTAAGAAAAATATTTATTTTCTTTAGTTTCTTTTCATTTTAGAGCTTAAAAAAGCACATGCTTCCTTTCCACGCATTAATGACAGTAAAGAACTCTCACCTATCAGCTCAAAACAAACGCTGCTACGATATGCATGAGTATATTGTTCAAACTCGATTATATTGCGTCTGCCTGTATTTCTCTGAAATCTACTATTAGTGTTGTCAAGAACAACTCTTTCTTCCAAAAGAACTGCCGTTCAATTGTATCGAACAGCACATCGCAGTTTTATAATGCAGACAAATGGGAACGAAACAATTCATTTTTGCTAGTGAGTTACATTATATCTATTTTAATGCAAGCCCCTAGAGAAACAAGGCTAGGGCACTAATTTACTGTGCGACTAACTCGTATAGTTGTGCTTTTAGAAAAGCATACTATAGATGTAAGACTCAATCCCGTTCTGGCGTGTAGAACATATCATTGTGCATTCTGGGAAAGCATTTTGTCATACTTGCAAGAAAGCTCAATGAAATTAGGAAGCTAACAGTATGAGGTTTCCATCATTAATACCCCAAAATTTAAAATTGTATCAGAGACTTGTTTTGACAGGAATATTTGAGTGAGTTCAACAAGCAAACACTTACGGGCATAATCTGCAAATAAAAAAACCACACAAGTTCATCTGCTTCTCTGGAAGTGCACCAGCTTACATAAACTAAGGATCTAGCCCACGAAAAGGAAAATTACTTACTTCCTCTGAATAGTGATCTGAAGGGAGAGGTGGGTAGTCACACTGTTCTATCTTCTTGCACAAGGAGTACAAGTTCATTTTATCACCGTAAAAGGGACTCTGCAGTGCAGCCATCTGTTTAAAGAAAATGTACAGTTTTCTTTTGTTTTTAAGTAAACCTATTTTGCCATAAAGTCTGTAATACTAACAAATCAAAAGTGATTTTTAACGACTTTCAATTCCCTGCTTAGAAGTCTCACACTGCTAAAACCAGAAGTTCCAAAACTATTACTGTAACCAGTGTGTGTACTTATTCTATGTTGTACAGTCATACCTGTCACAATCTCATATTCCCATATTTGAATTGTATACCGTAACATTTTTATTAATAGAGTATGAGGAGAAATTGAGCAGTTTCCAATACTGCTGTGAGCGTGGAGGGTCCTTGCACCACAAGGGAGACAAAAAAAGCCCCAAAACCCATAATGTAATTTTCTTGTGAAGACCTTTTGGAACAAACCATATCATTTATTTGAAAACACTGTCTGATCTAAAGTAATACCGTATGGTGAGAATGCTGGATAACAGTAGCAGATATGGTAACCTCCCACAGCTATTACTAGACCTCGATAAAGTGGGTTTTTTAAAGCAGGAAAACTGAAGGTAACATCTACACTTCCCAAAACAAAAACAAAACCTTCTTAATTCAGTACAGTATCTGAACATACATTTAAAAAAAAAAAATCCCCAAACATCATCAGAAGGGCAGAACTGGCACTCGTGACTATAATTTACAATTGTAATACAAAAAAAAAGATTGGTGTTGGAGAGCACTTAAATAAACAATCAACTTAAGACCAGCATTAGAAAATCTACACTTTATTTCCAGACAACGTTACAACTTGACATTTAAGGTGGAAACAAATGCTATGGTTAGCAGGATTACAAATTTAAAAATTCATTTAAAATCTCTCCATCCTGTTCAAAGCCTTCTAAGTCTTTGAACCGCAGCAGCACGAATGCTGCTTTGAGTGCAGTGCTGCCCCAAAGTCAGTCACCCTTTTCTACATGTGCTAATAAGTTTGATTTTGGAAGGACAATGTGTACATTCCCCAGACAGGCAGAGTGTGTGTGAAACACGCTAGTCCATGCTGTGCTACTCAGTGAGCTTCAGCAGGGACAGGACAAGCTGAAAATGGCTCTCATCTGTCTTGTGGTCCTCCAGATAGCAGTTTAACTCTTTCATGTCTAAGCATCGATATCACTGGGGGAAAATGTATGAATAAAATTACCAGAATTCTCTTACATTTACCTTATTTCTGATAAAAATGCTCTCAAATAGTTCAGTACCTTTTTCACATTATCTTTAAGTAAGAAAAAAGAATTTTAAAGCTCCCAAAACAAATAGTTCCATTCTACACTTTTCCCAAAAATTCTCTAACTGTATTACCAAAAAAATTTTAATTATTTGATTTATATGACATTGTCTCTTACTTAAAAAGGATGTTAAAAATGAAAGCTAAAGACAAAAAAGGGGGTCGGGGGGGCGAGAATCAATTGCAGGATCTGTTTGTGTGCAGAAATTCTAAATAAATGCACAGATACTCATTTTCGTACTCTAGGTGTTCATTAAAAAGTACTTTTGTTTGAATGCTGCGGAGTGTTAAAAAAATTCTGAACATCCCCTAAGGAGTTAAAACAGGAATACTATATTTTCATGCATCTCCTGCTTTGACAGATGAAAAATGTCAACTGTCCTGTTTTTATTTTCAAGCTTTTGCACTATTCATCTGGTTCATTAGTGCATCTCGCTGCTGCCCCTGACAGCTGCTCGCCCTCTCCTCCCAGCAGCTGAATTTTTCAGGCTAATTTGATCCTCCACACTGAGACGATCGCTAGAATGATTGACTTGCTCCCTGACCTCCAGGGTCTGACTTTCCTGATTAGTATTCTGGGGGTGTCTGAGGGACGAAAGCCCACTGTCTGTCTTCGGGGCTGGTGGCAGCTCTCTCTCTCTCTCTCTTTTTTTTTTTTTTTTTTTGAACTGTAAGCCACCAACCTACAACCCTGTAAGGATGCAATTGCTACGCTGAACAATAAAAGGAAATGTGTAAAACCTACTTTTCCATGTAAAGGTCCATGTAGCAAAAGCACAGCATCTTGATTTTAATTAGTAAAGTCTACTTTGTTGCATATCAATTAAAACTCCAGTGGTAGTGTTTTTGAGGTTTCAGAAATACCTGGGGCTCTAAAAAAAAATCAGACTTTAAAATATACTTTTAAAAACCTTACTGGCCACAGTTAGCACTGAATAATAGACTGCAATATAGATTAGAAATAATTTTTATAAACAAACATTATAGCAAATTAGTCTAAACTTAAATTAAAATATAACTGAAGAGAGTTTAGCAGCAATTAAGCATTTATCGAGAAGTGATAAACATGCCACAGCTTTTCTCCAATTAAGCTGGAAAGAATCCAGAGCATATATCAACATGAAATCAATATAATAAAACATGCTAGAATGAAGGCAATAGACATATCACAAAAAGATATTCAGCACAAAACTGCATGGATATTAAAAATAACATGCATGAGTCCAGGCATGTCTTGAAGAACCTTAAGTAACCACTTTCAAATAATTAAAAAATAAGATAAAAAACGCAAAGCATATATTTTGAGTTTACTATACCTAAAATTTCAAAATTACATCTCAATGATAATCAACAACAACAAAAAAACCCACACCAAAAAAACCCCACCAAAAACATCTGGCATGTTATAGAATTAATTAAATGGGATAAATGCACCTCTAAAAAAATTAAAAGCTGTACTTGAAGACAATGCCTTATACTATAGCTATATATCAACTGCAAGTATCCTAATAATTACTTTGTTCTTACAATTAGGGAAAAAGCTGAACACACCACTGTATCAACTTAACTACCATCTTGGTAAAACTTCTCAAATAAATAAATGCCAATGGTATTTACAGATGCTGAGTTAATCAATGGAATTACGATATTTAGCTATTTTGAAATTATTTACCAGATCAAAGAAAAACTTAATATTCACATAGGTGTTTAATATACTGTACCAGCATCAAAGCAGCAAGCGCAAAACAAAAAAATCTTCTTTAGGAAAGGGCTATTGATTTCTATCCAGCAATTTTATTTTATATAAAATGAAATAAATTAAAAAATTAACCTTAAAACATGTTTCTTTTATACAATAATTACTCAAGGGTTTTATTCCTTTGTTTCCAGATTTAAAAAAAAATACTCAAGAAAATCAATAAGGGGAAAAGAAGTAGTAATACCGAAAAACCCTCATCTACCTTTATGCTATCTTTAGGCTCCCGCTTGCATAAGCGCGTGTAAGAGCATTGAAATTGATGGCAGTTGCCATGGACAGTACTAAGGAATCCCAACATGGGATTAAGTTTCAGTTTAGGATTTAAACTTCTAAATACTTGCTATCAGGTATCAGACTTCATTCCTGTGAATTGTCCCAAAGACTTAGAGGCAACAGCTATACATGGATCTGTAAACTCTGCAGAATTGCGCTATAGTTATTTTTCTCTTTTAATATTTAAAGCAACATGTTAGTGATAAAAAGTAGACTAGTATTACTGGAGACAATTTACCTAGTAGTTAACATGCTGACAATATTTTCCTACAAATCCTAAAAATAACAGGAGGTGTCAATCCTGTTCAGTATGTGTTAAATGAGTTCTGCCGACTCACTGAGGCAGGTGGCTTGCAGGTAAATGAAAAGTGAGTTGGGTATATTGGTTTTTATCTGGAACATGACTATAAAGACTTCACTGCCATTGCTAATAGAAAGAATTTTTTTGCCAGCATCCTTCAACACAAGTGTTTAGTCTTTTGATCAACAAATGATATGCAAAGAACTTTGAAGATGTAGTTGCCTTAGAAGCCTACCTGCTCTTCGCACCTTCATTCGCCTCAATTTCAGTTTGCCCTATATCTTTATTTTCTCAGAATATAATATCATTTAAAATTATGTATCACCTACCAATCTCGACTGTATTAATACAGAAATTAACCAATAATTATAGTTTAACCATTGGAGGATAAGAAAGAGTAAATTACATATGCCTGTGCAGCAAAAGTCATTATCTTGAAAGTTAATCCACGATAGTAGTAGTAAGTACACAGTAACTTTTTTTCTATTGTTTTGCTTAGGCTTTAAATAATTTCTAAAAGATTAAACTTGTATTAAAATAATTATACTGCAGTTTTTGAAAGCACTAATTGCATATTCAATCCAGTCCTACTATTTCTCAATGTATTTATTACCACGATCATATAGTCAGCATAGGCCATCAAAACGCCTAGAACAGTTTTACATGTCCTTGCCATTATTCATTTATTAATCCTTCAGTTACGCCCAACTGTCAGCAAATTGCTGTAAAAACTTTGTAGCAAGCCCAGCACAAGGCAAGTCTTTATGAGCACACAAATAAAAGTATTTCATATGCTGAAGTTACGTAAGAGTTTTCACTGATAGTATTACAGACAGACATATAATAGCTGAAAAGTAGCTTTTCCACAATGCTACATACTATTCTAAACAACAAAGATACAGAAATATACCTAAAACAGTACCTAATATGTTGAAGGGGGAGGGCAGAGGGTGGGAAGCACAGCAGTGTTAAGTTCACTGTATGTATCAGTATTACCTCATACAGCAGACAGCCTAGAGACCAGATGTCAGATTTGAAGTTGTAACCATTTTCGTGTATTCTCTCTGGAGACATATAATAAGGTGTACCAACTGCAATAAATACACAAGTATTTTTGAATTAAAATTTCTGTTGTTAAATAGTAGTAAAAGTACAGTTTTCCTGGCTGAAAATATTTTCCATCTTCTCTATTTCTCATTTTGCTACACATATAATTTCAATTCATACTCTTGACTCTTCAGTTTAATAGAAATACACACAATTAGATATCTGTTTCACCCAATGCAGCTTAATTTTCACTACTGATACCTTATTACCAGAATTATTCAGTTGTAGAATACTCCCAATTTTTCCTTCTAAAAGAAGCTCTGAAGTAATTATTTTCTTCTGAAGAGAACCAAGGGAACATACCACACACACACATCCCTCCTCCTTTTCAAACTGTTATCACTGTGGCTGGAAATAACAACAGCTAGAAATTCTCTTCTATGGCTTGATTTTGGGTTTTTTTTTCTTTTCTTCCTTTTGAGAATACACAAATCTGAAAAAAACTGCTTTTGAAACTAATAAACACAATTTGGTTTGAATATCAAGCTAAAACTGAGCCTGAAATCTAGGATCTTCAGCTTCCCAGAGAGGAAGGCAGGAAAACCTGCAAGTCCAGCAGAAGCCGAGGTTCCTATGAGCAACTTGGCCATCTGCTGCAGGACTAGACTCTGTGAGGATTTTTCAGCTCCCAAATCTGTGGCTGTCCTAGCTTAATCCTGCCTCAGAGCTGTGGGCTCTGGAGACGTCTGCTCTTGAGAAGCAGCATTTACTAGGACCATCTCAGAGCAAATTTATATTGGATAGTCCAGGACATCTCTCCCCTTGATTTTAATCAGCACCTACCCATCTGTGTCACAAGTTACTTGGAAGAGAGAAATTCTGAGAGATGTTTCAGCTCTGTAACAAAAAGCCATTAAAAAAAAAAAAGTATCTGAGTGATGGGTTCCTATGTGACAGATCCACAAAAAAGTTAGAGAAAATAACAGTAGTGGCAATTTTGGTGCATTGTCTCTGAACTTTCTTCTTATATTCCCCCAAAATGATTGCCTAGCAGCAAAAAGTGTCACAGATCTACATAGATTTTTACTTCAATTTTGCATGGAACATTTTCTTAAGCAACGAATCCGAAGGATGAAAACGAACTGAATTCTGTCAGCTCAATCCAAGTTGACCTTATTTCAAAACTAAACATCTTGCAACACAGCCAGAGATTTAAATCAGCACTCTGATTGCAAATCACAAAAATCAGACCTTCACACTATTTTATTTAACACAAAGATCTCGTATCACTTCTGCGCATCTCAATTAGCCTCATTTATTCAGAATTCATCTCTGTATGAATACTGGAAATGGAGATATAGTGAATTCCAAATCTAAATAACCAGGTTAACAGTTTTACACTGTTTCCAAAAGTTAAGGAGTTTGCTTTGAAAACATGCCCTATCTTTCGAAAAGCTGACATCTCAAACTATGTCATACTTTCCTAGGGAGGAAGAAGGGAAAACAAAGCAAAAAAAAACCCAACCTCATACTTTCCTACTTGAAAGGCCCAGCTCAGATTGGCAAACCCAGTACTACTTTATCCCAGGTCAGGCTACTGCTGCTGGTAATTTCAACAGATCTCCTTCTTGGCAAACAATATTGAAAATAACCAATACAAACTGAGAGTGTGCTTCTCTAACAGGTACGTAAGGACAGCGGTCTCGAATTGCATCTTACAATGGATTTGGCCCCCTAAATATTTTGGGAGAGACTTCCAGGCCCAGGAAAGCAGAGGGAGCTGCAGCCCCCCTCCCCACAGGCTCCCTTAACACTGGCCTGAGGAATCACTGCAGCTCTGAACTGAGACTGTGAAAGATCAAGAGCCTAAAAGGAGAAAGGCTGGGGAAAGGCATCTCAAAATGATGGAGTACTGTGAAAACCATTTACTCTCATGGGATGTTCATATTCACCCACAACAGAGGAATGGTCTTTTCCCTGTGGAAGAATAGGTACGCAAATGAGTGGCCTGCAAAAATCAAAATAGCTACCAAAATATCCAGAAGCAACTCTTATTCTAAGGTATCAACTGCAACACTTTAACGGGCGTTTAATAACGGCTACCTTAAAATTGGAAACTGTGATTAAACACAGCTTTCATATTTTTATTATCCTTACTGTTGTACTTTGCCCTTGAATTTTTTATCTTATTTTTTTTTTACTCCAAGGACTTGTGAGCTTGGACACCTCTGAAAACTTTCAGCTGTACTTTGCATCCATTAATTAACACACTGGTTTAGTATATTCTGACGCTTTGTTGGCAGAATTCACCTAACAACAAAAAGTAAGTTTAATAGTAATCTGGTTGTTAGCTGGGTACAGAGGCACTGCCTTTGCTGCGCTGAGACATCACGCGAGTAGCTGGCAGTGAGTAATGTGCCAGAAAGAGGCTTCACAGAATCCACAGGGGGCAGCTGAAACACAGAGGTTTGAAGGTTCATAGTTTACCAAAAGCAAAGGTAGTTTTAACCAGTAGCTCTGGGAAGCCTGCTGATACATTAAAGGTCTGATATGACTGTGAAAGATTGATGATAGTGAAAAGGAAGAACAAATGCTATCATTTTACAGCGTTTAGCCTAGTGTAACACCTTAACTGCAACACAACCTGAAGCCTCCAACGACCAACAAGTGAAAGGAACTGAAATTAGTTATGTTAGTCATTGAATCACAACAACCACCTGAAGATCTAGACATCATTACTACTTGCAAACTGTTTTTAACAGAACATGACACACAAGATTCATTATTCTGACATTCAGGAACTACCAAAGGCATTACAAGGATTCTTTAAAACGGTGAGCAATCTCACTACGTAGCACTGTGCTGCTGGTAAGCTACTACCAGATGTGATTATACGTTATGTTTCCTTCCTGGATCCTTATTTTTTTTCTGCTAAGTGAAACACAGCATCACAATACTAATAAGACATGGGACTTTCTTTACTCATCTGAAGACACAGAAGTGGGATAACACAAGACAAACACGTAACACATTAAGTTGCCTGTTTTTTTTAAGAACAAAATCTGTAACTTCAGCACTCTGTTCACTGCATTTCACATCTCGGATAACCGGCAGGTCTGAACAGTAGTCTCCTTGAAAATGGCCTAGGTCAAATAAACTGCTTCCTCAGAATCTGCTGCTGCTCTGGAGCTCACTCCCTTTAAAGATGTTGCAGATTTGGAAAGCATTGTTTCTCTATGCAAGCTTTCTGCTATTGGGAGAGGCAATGGACGTAATGGAAATGGTTGTTATTAGGGGTAGGAAGCTGGATCTGAAGGATCAGCGTCGAAGAAGCTATTTGACATCTTATTACCCGCATAAACACATAACTCGCACTGCAGCTCAGTTAGAGAGGAGAGTGTGTTCACTTGAAAACTTACAATGCATTGAGGAGTTGAATGAAATACAACACGTAGCTCTAAGTACTATCAAGCATTTTTAAGCTGGGAGAAAAAAACACCTGGTAAATGTTCATACTACTTATGCAAAACAATGTAATGGCTAATTCAGAAGGTATTTAATAGACTAGTTTTAAAAAAGGCCATATACTTACCAATGACATTCCATGCATTGGACTATGTAACTAAGCAAGTTCAGGAAGGGGGCTAAAATCACTTTAGTAACTCTTCTGATTTAAAAGAATTCAGTTAAATAAATTTGGCCTTCTTTTTTTTTTAAGTAATCAAAAGATACAGTTTATGAATGACAATGTCCATGAGCTTACAGGAATTTTATAATACAGAGTTCAACACAACATGCAAGTGCTCAAGACGATGAATGCTTGATGCTGAAGATAGACTAAGTTACAAAACAGCTGCAGTTATGGAACCATAAGGGTAACCAACCACTGGCATGACAAATTCTCCATGACTATAGATATTTTTTTTTACTTATCTATTGTAATATAGGTGTAGGAGATTTCTAAGTCATAGGCTCATCTTCAACCACAGATATGGGACATAAAATACTGCACTTATCCAAAGTAATTCCGCAACTTAGCCTACATTATGCAAACAGTCTAGCTGCAGAAATCAATCTATAAATATCTTGGGGTCTTTTATAATGTTGCATTGTAACAGCACAATAATTTATCTTCAGCTTTCAAACTACTGTAAGAGAGCTCATGTTTTTGTACCTAAAGAGCTGTTTTAATACAGCTTCGATGACTGATACGCATCAGCTGCAGATTTCCCCTGCTAGCCTTCCTGTACACCGAGGGTGCAGGTTTCTCTGAACAGTTTGGTTGAGAGTTTGAAAGTGGAGCTTATTCTATTCACAGCAAAACAGTGCCGCATACTACCACCTCAGCACTGGCTTTGACATCCTCTGCTGGGTTAGAGATCCATATGTAAGAGGAAAGAAGAGTATCTGCAAGCATATTTACAAGGTTTTTAATTTCCCACAATCTGCATGATTTACAGTCAAATCTCTCATAACATCGCTCTGTGCTGGGGACAGAAGTATCACTGAAATGACAGAAGTTGTCAAACCACAGAAGAAACACCAGAATTCAATACAGATGATCCTTTGCTTTCAAGCATTTTAAAAAGATTGCAGATCTGCTCCTTTGCCCTGCAAGAAGGTATTCACATCATGGCAGTGTCCACCCAGACAGCATACTGTGCAGCCCTCTAGCACAACCACACTGGAGAAGTGATTTTTTTTTTTTAGTGTTGTGGGTTTTTTTTGTGTGATTGAAATACTAAAATATGGACTACATTTAAATCTACTGAATGGCTAACAAAGATTAAAAAAGGCACATTTCCACAAGCTGGCCTCAGAATTGCCAATTCATCAAAGAGCATAAGGCCTGGCATTCAGCCATTAAAAAAAAACCCAACAAAACACAACAACAAAAAAGCCTCCTAACGCATACAGTCATAGAGAAAGGAATAAGAAGCCTTTCTTGGATCATCTTCCCCTTTCTAATATAAAATCATCTGAAACCAAGAAATTTTGTCAAGTTTGTATTGAATCGACAATACCGAATGCCTCTGCTTCCTTTGCATTTTTGAAAGACAGATTTTCTATTTTCAAAAGGTATATACATGTCACAATAGAAAATTCTACTGTTTTGATAAGGTTGTACAGGAAGAGTTAAGACCATTAACAAACCCTGTTCAGTGCAGTATTTTCATTTGTTTCAAATGGACCATCAGCAAGTATTTAATTAAATCAGTATTATTCATAATTAGCAGTTAGAAGCTGTAGCTAATGAAAATTTTAGTACACTTCTTTATCTCTGAAAGCCTGACTCTAGTTTGCTACTAAAATTTTTATAAAGCCTGTAAACAAGTATAAATTGCTACACACAATACGTTTGTAATTCACTGGGATTTGTGCACCAAAGGTTTATGGAATCATAAAAAGACAAAACTTTGAAAGAAATTTCAGGAAAATCAGCATCAGAAACTGCCTGAGAAATTAATTTTAAAAAGTGGTCTCTACTAGTGACATGGTAAATCAGAGTGCCACTGTTTCCGCTGTAGCCTAAGTTAACAGCTGAACAAAACCCTTTTGCTAGGCTGAATTCTGACATTGGGTCATAATTAAGAGGGAAACGGGAGAAGAGGAGACAGGGAAAAAGAAAATAAAAAACAACAGCTCCTCTACCATGACACAGCACCCAACATTAGAAACAAAGCTGCCATCCCCCTACCCCCTGCTCTCTAGAAGACTCTTGTACTTGTAAGAGATGAGCTTTAAAGGGCTTGGGGGTTTTACACTGTTTTTAACTCAAGCTCGGTCTTCAGTCCCTTTGCAACCATTCCCCTGCAGCAAGTCAAAATAACCCAGGGTTGAAGCAGTTTGCTCCTCTTTAACTTCCTGACTTCTGCGTCAGAACACAAGTCTAGCTCTCCCGCCCTCACAACTGACTTTTGCCTTCTTCATGCACTCCTACCTACAGATTAGGATTTACAGCTTCCAGCGAATACAGTCCAGGAGCAGTTCCCTCTTCACACTGCTCATTTACATCCTTCTTTCACTTGCAGGCAGTAGCAGGACTCTACGACAAAGAAGATCTCCACAGTGCTGCCACAGATGGCCACTGGACTACGATGGCAACATGAACAGCTGCACTTTATCTAATACACTTTGCCATGAACTAGCATCAGATCTTTAGAGTTATATCTGAACTTCGATGTGAAACTCAAGCACCATTTCCAGTCTGGTCTCACTTCTCCTCTGCCTCTCTCTCTCTCTCTCTTTTTTATTAACGCAAGATTGCATACACGTGTCTGGGTTAAGATCCTTTTAAGATCTATTTATCCTATTAAGATCTTAGCAGTTACTCATGGTTTTGATTATATCAGTAGCAGTTTGCACTAAACATGATAAAAACAGGAAGGCACAAAAAAGTGACCAAAGGCTTTCTGGAAGACAGGGAAGTAAGGTGTGTCCTCCCATGGCCCTACAATATGGACTATAAGTATTACTTAGCCAGTCTTGCCTTTCTTAGATATTATCTTCCTTATCATGCACTCTTGTGAAACACATAAAAATTGCCAAATGCCTAATTACAGACTTGTCATTGTCATTTGTTAAAAGTTCTCACTGAGAAGAATTTGAATTGATTTTACCTATCTGTATTGAAGTATCAGTAAGGTGCTCTGCCTGCCTCAATACCGGTCAGAAGGAACAGGAGACGATTCGGGGTGCTGCCATCAATGGCCCTGCTCTCCAGGTGTCTGAAAGTTCATTTCACACCCTTTGCAGTCAGCTAACAGGCTTGCACTCAGTAACCACTAAACACAGCCACTTCAGCAGGGAAAAATAGTTTTTTTCTTAACTAAAATAAAGTACATAACCATAGTATAAACACTAATTCTTACATTTCTCTTTAAAGCAGATGCTACTCTATTTACAAGGCTTTTCTCTTTTACAGAGATCCTCTTAGATTCCATCTTTGTCCATTCCTTACATTTAAACTTAAAATATCTACCAGATTTTTCTTTTTCTTCTTTAAAGGCTTCTTAATCATCTTAGTCTCCACATGCTACACAAAAGATGAAAGTTATATGAAAATTTTGTTTGGAAAAAGATAATACAATGTTATTTTTTTATGTGCTAGCAAAGAATAAATTAGGAATTTCAGAAAGTTTTTTCCTATTCTTATAAAAATGAGTTTTCTGGGACTTTCGTTGTTTGTTCTGGGTTTTTTGGTTTTTTCAAGTCTTTATGGTTCATAAGGTCTAATTCTGATCTCTTTTTGACTTACTTAGCTTATATTGAGAAACTCCACCTTAAAACACGGAAGCTTCTCTGTTAGCCCTTTCAAAACATATAACCAACATGTCATCAATGCTACCCATATAGGCACACAGAATTATTAGATACTTTCCAACACTAATTAAAGTTCAAATGAATTTTAAAAAATGCATCTATACTATTGATCTTATTTTTTCCTAACATTTCTAGAAAACACTGCTGCCATGAAGACTTGTTTTTAGCCAGGAATGTACATTCAATGATTTAAACAGCTGCAGTGCTGAAAGCAACACCTCAGTGTTACAGCTTTTCTGCATTTGTCCATGGTGCTGACCTTTTTTTCTTTATTTTTCAGCAAAAGCTTTAGCTGGATCTAACCCTTCTCTTCCTCCTCATGAGTCGGCACAGTATTTGCACCATGTAAAAAAATCCATCTCCTCAACACCTGTACCTCAGAGAAAGCTTACCTAAAGAATGTGCAGCTGTGGTTTTGGAGCTGAAAAAACGACCAAGTCCAAGGTCTCCAAGCTTTACTACCCCTGTAGCCGTAATGAACACATTAGCTGGCTTTATATCTGGAGGAAAAAAAAAAAAGGAAAAAAAGACATTTAAGCGTCACAATGAAGTTGCAAGAAAAGCTACTGCTCTATTAATAATAGACCAAAAGAGGCTTTTATTTACAGCTAATATTAACAAAATTGGACTGTGCTGTTCAGAAAGAGCAAGTCTGAGATTTAAAATTTCAAATTAACTATTTTAATAGTACAAACATCACTCAAGCAAAAAATTAAGAGCCATAGAAAGTATTTTTAAAAAAAAGAAGCAATCAAACAACAACAACAACAAAACAAAAAGCCTCCACACCCAGAGAAGCATATACAGGGAGTTCGTTACTACTTTATACAAGCTATACATAAGGACTTCCATTAGAATTAGAAAACCTCTCATTATGTCTTAAGTAACAGACAAAAAACGTTTTCAAGAACTGGAAAACATATTTCATCACTTTTGCTGATCACATTACCCACAGTGGCATGATGTTATTTATTTGAAATAGGTAACTGATTCTCCTTAATAGCAGGCATTAAAAAAAAAGGAAGCAAGTTTTACTCAGGAGAATGGTTATTTGAACTCGTCAATGGAATCAGGCTAATCAAGTAGAAACAAAGCAAAATAATGATGTATACCCCAGATAGTTATTTTTCACAAGTAACATTCAGTTTAAGTTTTAATCTAATCCTTCAGAGACAACAGCAAGATTTTTATTTTATGATTTTTAACAAGGTACATATCCTTGTTAGTCTTCTAAATACACTGACCTGGTATTTGTTTGGCAAATGCGATTAGCTCGAGAGCAATGCACTATAGCTCTAAACTTCAAGAAAAATCACTTAACTTTGATAAAAGGAGATTACAGTGTGCGTAAGATACAGGTACAGTAAAAGGAATGGTTAATAACCCTTCAAATACCAGCATTTTTGAGTTTCCAATAAAAAGTTACAAAACCTTACAAGCTTTACAGAGGAAGACAGAAGCAATTACGTTATGCTGCTATCTGACCCAGTTTTCAGGAGTTTGGACCGGTCTTTGTCTAATAATCCAGCACTGATATCAGCTCAACTTCAAAACAGCTTTAATTGTCATTGGTTTTGGTGCGTTACCATAGCATTGTTAGATTTGCCATAGGTTTGCCAGAAGCTTTGAAGGTAGTATTTTGAAGGTAGGAATTTAAATTCATTTTGGTTTTGAGCTAAAATATACTGAAATCAACTAGTTTAGTCACAAAAGCATTAAAGGAAGATACCTGTACCCTATCTTTATGTCCCTCTCTTTGTATAATTTGCACTTGCAGATATCCGTATGAATGCATAAAGGAAAAAAAAAAAAACCAAAGGAGAATCACAAAGGAAAGGCATTTGCAGAGACAGGGGCATGGGAATCTAAGCTGATCTGCTGAAGAATGCAACATCTCTAGCTGCAAATGACAAAGCTCAGCAGAGATCGAGAGACTTGTGCTTTCAGGCAGCTATGTGCATCCCAGCAGAAGGAAGCCACCAACCTAAGACATGTAATTCCACCTGAACTCAGAGAGACAGCCCATATACAACTTGCAACTCATAGCCAGAGGGATTTCCAAGGCAAAAAAAAATTGTACATCTGAGAAGCACTATACTACGATCTGTTTTCTTTCACTCAGTTACAAGGTAAAATGAAGACAACATACAGAGGAGACAGCAGTACAGAGGTTTAAAATGGGCAAAAGAGATTTAGTACCTGACAAGGATAGCTGGCAACTACAAGGGCTGTTGGGACACAGCACTTGACACAGAGATTGGAAATAGCGGAGTGGAGCAGAGAAGGGGAGAAAATGCTCCTGGCTGCACATAATCCAGTAGACAAGGGAGTGGGAGAACGGCCTATACATCACCAGAAGGCATGGCAGAAGGCAAATACTTTTGTAAGAAAAAAGGTGCAAGAGGTGAAAAGAATGGATGGATAGCTGTGCAAGAATGCAGGTAACAATACTTCGGAAAGACAATGGGCAAATATAGAAGAGTAAGGACAGGATAGAAAATAAGAGCCAGCAAAATTAATTGAGCAAGCAAAGAGGCAGTAGTGGAAGTGTCTCCATCACCTACAGAACTATCAGGTATTTTGAAAACTTGGTATCACAAACCATTGCTGCAAACAAATGCCTACCACACAAGTGTACAACCACAAACTTTTGTCACACTTTTCCATTACTTATAAAACATTATAGAAACCATACATTGTGTCAGCTGTAAAAATTGATTCTATTACAACATTATTTGGTGTCATTTGCATTGAACCAGCATAATTCTCACACAGTAAAAGGTTTAGTAAAGACAAATCATCTTTGATCCTATATTACCTCTATGCATAACACGACGAGAATGCATATGTTCCAAGGCACTGCAAAGCTGAACAAAGTACTTCCAAACTGTTCTTTCAGGAATCAACCTCTTCTGTTTCTTAAAATGCTTAAAGAAAAAAAGATGGACATTGAATATCAAAATTTAAAACTTCCATAAAATGACTGAAAAAAGAAAAGACAGAAAATCCTTTATTTAGAAAACCAGAGGCTCACAACTAACCAAGAAAGGTTTAACACAATTTCTTGACACAGAAAGCTTTTTCCTTAAATATTAATACATGTATCATCAAGGTAAGTGTTTAAGTCAGTCAACACAGAGCCACAAAATGACATTAATGAAATAAAACTGCTATCCCAAAAAAGGATTTATATGGTATTTAGCAACCCTCAGTGCTGGACTAATGTGGTCAGAATAGCCTAGCATAAAGTAAGTGGCCACAGAACCTACCAAACAAAATATTTGCTTACACTAACATTGGTTTCCATATCCTCATAAAATAAATAGGAGGAAAAACAGTAGTGACACACAATCACAAAGATGATGTAAGAAGAGTCAATCAGATTAGTTTAAGAAACTTTGTCAATACATAAAAGGAGACTAAAGGAACTGTGATTTCCAAAACTTCCATAGCAATTTAACTCCTGTTCAAATATTTTCCATCCTATATAAAAAACCGTTGCCGATCACCGTTAACAGTTCAATGGCCTGTTAAAGCTTACGTGAAACATAATTATGCTCCGCTACACACATCTCCTTCACATAGAATATTCAGGGACTGCAATAACACAGTCTTCCAAAAATACATACTGAAGACCTGGAATTCAGCCAATGCTAAAACGTGCAAGTTTGATCATTATAAATTTTGCAGCTAAAGGTAAGAAGACTGCAAAGTTGCTGCTCGTTTAGTCTCTCTTTTTAAAGAATTCATATTTTGACAGATTTTAAACTTAAACACATGAAGAAAATACATGAACAACATTAATTTTAGATAGGCAGTAAAGCACTTTGACGTATTTTAATAGTGTGTGCACATACACACACTTCACACTCATGCACACCTTAAATTCATGTAACAAATATTTATGACCTCGAAAAAATAAAAATATTTTCATATACTATGTTGAAGTGAAGTGTGCCACCGAGAAGTTGACAGCTGCATCTACTCATTACAGACACACACAGGAGTATGAGAAACACATATCTAAAACAGCTATAGCAAAATGCATCAGTCATACAAAGGATCATAACATTTCACCAAAATGTTTTTAGTATTAGGGATTATTTCAAAATGCATTTTCATTTAAATGAAGCGAAGCATATAAATTACTTCTTTAAATATAATTTTCTCTCAGTCTTGGACTGAATCCAAACAAACCCTGTGTATCTGTTCTCCCCATAGCTGGATTTGCATATCAGAGGATTGTTTGATGTCAACAGGAAGATGGAGACCAGGTTTCTTTCCATTTAAAAACAAATACACAATACATGTAAGTATGTGCACATGAAAGCATAGTTCTTTGATTTAAAATGCATTCTGAAATTATCATAATTATAATCAGGTACTTTATTTAAACATTCTGAATTATTATTTTTTTTAATGCAAGTCTAAGCACAAGCAGTGATTAAACGTCATTCACAAAATGTCTGAACTGGAATGATTTTCCATTACAGATTTCCATTTCGATGTACTTAAAGTATATCAGTGTACTTTCAAAGAATTTACGTAGTAGTATTCTCTTAACATTTTATTCATTTGCCATCTAACACTGTAAAAGATTGTACACTACAAAATCAGCTTCAGTTCTTACAGTGCAAGCATGCAATACAACAACAGTTTTTGAGACGTAGTCTCATTCCACTGAAGCCATTAGTAATTTTGCATGACGATAATAATTACTTCTTTTCCTGAAAGCATCAATAATACTATTAACCCTGTAGAATTTATCCATCTAAAGAGGATGCAAAAGAGAGCTGTTAGATTTGCTAACAATGTTTAAACTAAACAAAGAAACAGGCACCATTTTTGCCTCTATAGGTTTAAAAATAATCCAATTATCTTAAAAATAAATTCACTGAACATTATTTTGTGTAGTAATTAACTACATTATCTTCTTCCATCAAAATACGTATTCTCAATGTTTTCTTGGGCTGTTGTCAACCAACAGTCAAAAGAGTGATGAAAAGCCACCACTACGAAAAAAAACTGATTTTGCACAACTAGCTATTGAAATAAGTTGTAGGTTTCTAGGAAACAGTCCAGCAGGCGGTGTTAATTCTGAGAAAAGCCTATAAGGAAAAGTAATCATATTCCTGTTTAGAGCCTTACCTTCTAACACGAAATATAAGTTGATGGAACACATGGTCAAACCTATTTTATGTTGAACAACATAATCAAATTCATATAGCACATGTTAACAAAATAGGATCCTTTTCTCTCTCCACCATTTTAAAATAGTGCACAATGCAAAATGCAGTTCTAATGGTTGTGGGGTTTGCCCCCTTCCTATAAGGAAGCCAAAACGCGGAAGACATGATGCCAAAATAATAATTTTTAACCTCTATTGCAGAAGAGCACAGTAGCACCACAAGCAGTTAATACTGAAACTAATTCACTGCCTGGTGCTGTAATGTCTCAAGCATCTTAAGGTCCACATAATCAAGTTAACTGAATGCAGTTATCTCCCACTGTATACAAGTAGCTATTACCTGCCCAAATTTGACCTCAAAGGAATATAGCCTGACATACAGCTTTCTGAAGTACTCTCATCATCTACATTTTACTATTCAGCTTCTTCCACCTGTCTGAGGCTCAAAGGACAGTCCTGATGTCCCTCTGACCACTGACCTTCTAGGGTGCGACATGAAAAAAACCCATAATCCTGTTTGAGGTGAAAGATCAGTCTCAACATAGCTGAGACTGGGCAAAAAGGGAACCGCTTGTACAAGTGCATTAAAAATTTGGGTAGTGTTGCAAACTAGTGTTTTATCAGGTAAACAGAGAATACCAGGCATGCTCAAGCAGTAGACTGTCTCCCAGCAACAATTATTTGTTTCAAAAGCCATATCCCATGAAATTTCCACCTCTGTCTTTGAGAATGGAATCACAAAAAACTACTTTGAAGAGTTTTCACAATATCAGTACAGATAAAACTGCTATTCAGTCATTTAATGCAACTGGCCATTTTTCTGGCCATAACTTTGCTATTCAAATGCCTTAAAGACCTTTAAGGTAGGCGGGTAATATCACTAGTTCCTCTTTTCATCACTTTTTACAGAATGACTGAGCAGTTTTGTTATGGGAAAACAGAACTCTCCTGCTCTGCTCTAATGAATTGCTAAACGAAAAATTAAATATTCTCCAACCGTTTCCATCCTAGTAAAGTTAAATATAGCTGCCTTGCACCTAAACAGCATACGCCATTCAGTTTCTTGGAGGCATTAAAAAAACATTAAGTAAAAGGTAGATGAGGAGAAAGTTTAAAGTCAATATAAAAGCATGGAATTATATTATAGTGGGTTTCCGAAGATGATGCTTTAAAGGTCAAACTCGGAAAGCAGAAGTGACAGCCACTAGAAAATGGTCTTATCTAGACTTAACAAGCACCGTTCAGAGAATGCTGATAAAGAAAACACGCAGGACTATGTTTGACTTTTGTAAGAAAACTAAGGATTTCCTGCAGATGAGTAAAGAACAGTGAACATATATGATTTCAATACAATTTGAGATTTCAGATATGACTGCTTAGGTCTCAGTAACCACGCTTGAAAAAAAATTAGCATTCATTTCTGACATTAGTGTCTCAGATAATTTTAAGGCATGACTTCGCCTGGTTTAGACCTCACTGAATAGGAAAAAAACAGGCGTAAGTAAAAAAAAAAAAAGCATGTTTAAGAAGCAAACTGGACTACAGAAAGTAAGAAGTTTATGAACATCTCTTGCAGAAAGATGATGAAGTGATCACCTAAACAATTTTGCAGAGTCATTATTTAAAAGAATTATTTCCTTGCTTTAAATACATTCATTTTCTTTTCATGTTTTGATGAGGATCTTGATCACATCTGTCTGTTCTCACAATTTCACTTTCAGCTTACAAAAACATAAAGGTGTTTTTTTATATTCGATTGCATAGACTTATGAGAACACAGTGATTCAACAACTGGATACTTGGGGGAAAAAATATGAACTTCATCAAGAGGAAAGTGATGCAGAACAGATTATTACAAGGAACGTCCGAGTAACGCATAATGAAGTCCTTGGCCACTTCTGCCTGTATTTCTTTAGGAGTCTTTTCTAATATGGACTAGAAAAAAGAATGAATAGAGGAAAGAGAAGGTTAGGCAGCTGCAATAAGAAATTATGGAAGCACAAGCAAGAGTTCTCACTCTGTGAATAAAACAGAAGTAAACCAGAACTGGCAAGGGCGTGTAGAGCCAAAAAGACAGACCAGAGAAGATGGACCTCAACATCTCTACACTTTGGAGTAAAGACCAGACTCATGCATATAAAAATGAAGTTTCAACATAAGTCTTGCTTTCTATCTAAAACGCTATATAACTCTAACAGGAAAGCAATGTCCCAGGAGTTTTTTCTGGCTCTGTTCATTCATTAATTCAGCTTCCCATCTCTTTAGACCGTTGCAAGTTTTCTGCCATTCTTCCTTGCTTTCTATTTAGAACAAAAATAGAACTTTCTACGTCTTGATTCATTCATCCAATTTGATCATGAGGTGATTAAAACTGCCTGCATTTCAAGAGTAGCTGCTGTCTCTGAGTTGTAAAAACAGAACGAACACAAAAAACCACCCAAACTATTTGGCACCTACAAATGAATACACAGAAAGTAACAAGTACTTGGCTAATAAAGTGACTAATAATAATAAATAAACAAAATATTTACCTGGTTCTAGTTCCAGCTTTACTATTCTCTACATCTCCAGTTACTAAAGATGTCATACATTTATTTTTTCCCTTCCAGAATCCACAAAAAAACGCATTAAAAAAAAAAAAAAATCTATCTTCCTCAGTGATCTTAGCATACAAGTAACTTTATTTAATCAATAGCAACAAAAGACTAATACACACTACAAAATCTAATAGACAAAATA